GCTTAACCTACTGAGCCACACAGGTGCCCCAAGTTTATCAATTTTTTAACAGAATTTTATTCATCAATTACATCTACTGTTTCTCTACTCATTAATTTCTGCTTTTATCTTTATTATTTTTTATGCTTTCTTCTGGTTTACTCTGTTGTTCTTTTTCAACTGTTTTGACCTGGAAGTTGAACTCCTTTTATTTTTATTGATAAATGTATGTAGCGTGATGATTTTTCTTACTTATTGCTTTAATTGCATTCTATAGAGTGTGGTATGTTTTCATTGTGATTAGGGACCCCTCTTGAGGAAAAAGTATACAAAATTATGAATATAAAATTAGGTACCTGGCTTGAAAGGGGTGCATGTAATTGAGGGGCCATGATACTTGAAATTTTACTAGCTTCACAGTAAGTCCACCTCTGTTTAAACACAAGCCTGGGATTTACACATGATAGATGTCGTTGGCATTTTGAGATGACTTAGTCATCAGGGAAGACCTTGACACATGAGTAGCAAGAAAACAGAATTGCAAAGAGAATGAACTGTAATGGTGTGTGCATCACTTGTGCTTAGCACTTGGCAGAATTTATCTCCGTACTATACCGCATGCCTGATTGTTTTACTATTACCGTTTTATAAACAATAAGAAGGAGTTTCTGAAACGTTAAAATACTTGCTTCAGATCACACAGCTGGTGAGATTAAACCCAGCCAAGTCCAACCTGGAAGCCCCTGTCCTTGTCACTACACACACGGCATTGTTGGTACCCAGAAGGGACTGGCCATGTGCTCCTCCCCCGAGCAGCCGGTTCAGGAGCTTGTATTTCAGAAAGCCACCTGGAAAGGCAAGTACTGGTGGTGCACGGTTACTTTTTGTGGGTGTTGGACAAAGCATGCTGACTGTATCAGTCACCGATGGCTGTGTAACAAATCATCCTCAGACAATACATACTCACTACCTCACAGGCTCTGAGAGTCAGTAACCTGGGAGCAGCTTGATTGGATGGGTCTGGCTTAGGGACAGTAGTGAGGTTGCTGTCACGCAGTCAGAGCAGCAGCCAGCTGAAGGCTCACCTGGGACTCAGGGCTGGCTTCCAGGCTCACTCCTGTGGTGTGGACAGGCTTCAGTTTGTCACTGGCTACTGACTGGAGACTTGAGTTCCTTACTGTATAGACCTGTCTGTGGGGATGCTTACAACAAGGCAACCAGCTTCCCCCGGAATGTGTGATCTGAGAGACAGAGGAAAACTGGAGAGACTGCTGAGAGGGAAGCTGCAGGCTTCTTAAATTGTACCTTGGAAGTGACAAGCCACCATTTCTGTTTGTTAGAAGCAAGCCATGAAGTCCAGCCCACAATCTGGGGAGGGGAATTCAACTCTACCCTTTGAAGGTGTATCCAAATACGTGTGCATGTATTTTTAAAACCACCACAGTGCCAAAGGGAGACTTCAGCATTTATCTCTGCCATGGGACTTAGAACAGGGATTCTGCCTAGACTGAGGTCATCCTCCGGAACCCACTCCTTGCTCTGCCTGGAGATCTAAGCCCCTCCTCATCCTGTGGGATAGGGAGAGGTGGTTGCCCTCATTCCTGCATTCATTCACTCACTCCCTTGGCAAATATTTATCAAGTGACAACTAGATGGTGGGTGCGGTTCCAGGAACTGGGGATGAGGCAGAGAACAAAACACATTCCACCCCGTCCTTGGGCTCAGAGAGCTTTGATTTGAGTGAGAGGGGCCAGATAATAAAGAAAGAAATGATTAAAACAACAGCAATAGTGATAAGGACTATGAAGAAAAATAAAGCACGATGAAAGGATAGGAGGTGACAGGGGCCGCTGCCCCCAGACAGAGAAAACAGATGAGGTCTTGCTGCATTATATCAGAGGACCTGCTCAGAGAAATCCTCTTTGCTCAGGTGACATTTCAGCTGAGACCTGAGATGAGAGTGAGCCACAGGGCTCCTGGGAGGGAGCACAGCAAGGGCAAAGGCCCTGGGGCAGGAATGTTCTTGGTGTGTGTTGATGAGGTGTTCTGGTTGGGATGGAGAGAGCACGGGAACGATGGATGGGAAAACGGGTCAGAGAGGAGGCCAGGGTTCTTGGTTTTTAAGTCTATGTGGGATGGAGCCCATTTAAAGGGATTTGAGCAGGGGCTTAACATGATTTGGCCATGCTAATGGGTTCACTCTGGCTGCTGCTCAGACGGGGAGGAGGAGAGAAGGAGACAGGGGGCTGCTGCAATTACCCAGGGAGTGGTGACCGTGGTGGGTGGTTGTTTGTTCTAAGGAGGACGCAGCAGACGTCATGAGACACGGTCAGATTCAGATGCGGCTCCTGCCACAGCCGCTTACGTGGAGGCGGTGGGGTCGCTGACCTCAGACAGTGAGGTTCCTGCCACTTTTGCAAGCTTCTAGCCGAGTGGTGACCATTGCTTGAATACACCATGGTCTGCGTACCATGTTCCAGGCACTGTGCTAGGTCTAACGGGGAAAGAAATGAGCGAGACCACACGGCCCTCCCGGAATAGCAGGGCAGAGAGGCAGCTGAGCCGTGCACCACGGCGTGCTGTGCGACAGGCTGTGAAAAGTACCCGAGGTGTCACAAGGCAGCGAGCCTTCTGCTCTGGGCGGGGACACGGAGGGCCGCAGGGGATTTCCACTGGCAGGAATGGGGTGGCTGGTGTTCCAGGCAGAGGAAGAAGAGTCCTGGTGGTGGGAGAGGCTGTGTTTGGAGGACAGGTGGTTCCAGAAGCAGGGAACAGTTGCAGGAGATGATGCAGGACGAGAGTTAGGATCCACTTACAGAGACCCTGGAATCCCAGGCTGAGGCAGTTGGGTTGGAGGAGAGCCCTGGAAAGAGCTCCCAGGTCCCAGGTGGCATAGGTTGGAGCAGAGGAAACCGAAAATACGGACCCCTGTGGAGCTGTTATTGCTAACACTATCAGGACAGGATTTAAGAACAAAGATAATGATCACAGTACAGTTGAAAAATAGCAAGACGGGTGCCTGGGTGGCTCAGTCCGTTGAGTGTTTGACCTCTGCTCAGCCCGTGATCTCAAGGTTGGTGAGTTCAAGCCCCGCATCGGGCTCTGCACTGAGAGCTCAGTGCCTGAAGCCTGCTTTGGATTCTGTGACTCCCTCTCTCTCTCTCTCTGTTCCTCCCCTGCTCATGCTTTCTCTCTCTCTCTCTCTCTCTCTCTCTCTCTCTCTCAAAAATATTAAAAAAAGTTTTTTAATACAACAAAAAAATAGCAAGAGAAAATTGAAATAAGCCTAATTAAGCAGTCTAGTTAAAACTTCTTGCATTAAAACCTTTTAAATTGGCAAATGTGATAGAATAATGTGTATCCATTAAAAAGTGTTTTCAAAGAAATTCTTAATGACACGGGGAAGAGTTTGCAATACAATGTAAGTAAAAGGATTTAGGAAATACAGCACAGTGCACAGTATATAGTCTGAACAGAAAGGTAGCAAAATGTTTACAGTCATTTTCTCTAGGTGCTGAGATTACATGTGATTGCCATTTTCTTTTTTTAAAAATTTTTAAAATTTTTTGAGAGAGAGAGAGAATGAGCACGGGAGGGGAAGACAGAGAGAGGGAGACACAGAATCCAAAGCAGGCTCCAGGCTCTGAGCTGTCAGCACAGAGCCCAACGAGGGGCTCGAACCCATGAACGTGAGATCATGACCTGAGCCCAAGTTGGATGCTTAACTGACTGAGCCACCCAGGCGTCCCTTTTTCTACTTGTCTAAATTTTTCCAACATTTCACAGGAATTTGCATTACTTTTGGAATCAGAAAAATTGCTTGTATATAAAGATTACACATTGATTCTATTTAAAAATTTTTGTAATGTTTATTTGTAAGAGAGAGAGAGACAGACTGTGAGCTGGGGAGGGGCAGACAGAGAGGCAGACACAGAATCTGCAGCCTGTTCCAGGCTCTGAACTGTCCGCACAGAGCCCCGCACAGGGCTTCAGCTCACAAACAGTGAGATCATATCCTGAGTTGAAGTCAGACACTGAACTGACTGAGCCACCCAGGGGCCCCAAGATTAAACACTGATTTTAAATAAGGACTGGCTCACACGATTCAGAAGGATGGTCTTGAAAACCTGATTGGGAGTACTAAATACTTCGGAGGCAGAAGTGACAAACATTTGGGCTAACAGGATATGGGAGAAAGAAGGAGGCAAGAGTCAAAGATCTGTATTCTGCCTCACTCCCTTCTCCTTGGCAGCAGGTGGAGCAATCCTATTAAAATAAAATCCAGATCAATTTCCTCCTCTGCTCTAAACCCTCCAGTGGCTCCCACCTGACTCAGAATAAAAGCCAGAATCCTTAGCCGCTTACAGGGACCCACATACCGAACTTAGGGTTATCCCTGACATGGTGGTCTTACCCTCTCCTTCCTTCTGCCCTCTGCTTCGACTGCCTCACTGTGCTGAACACGCCCCAGGACCTTTGTACCTACCATCTCCTTGCCTGCAGTGCTTTGTGAAATCTCTGTGTTTTGCTCCCCTCACCTATTCCCTTCTCACCAAGGCCTTTTCCTGGGTACCCTCTCCGAAACAATCCCCTGGCACTCCCATCCTTTTGTTGCTTAATATTTATCCCTAGCACACATCATAACTATGTATTTTACTTGTTTGGTTTTTGTCTCTTCCATTAGCATATAAATTGCAGGAGGGCAGGGGTTTTGTTTTGTTCACAGCTCCTGGCACGGTATTAATACTGAGTAAATGCTTGTTGCATCTAAATAAAGAACTCAAGGGGCGCCTGGGTGGCGCAGTCGGTTAAGCGTCCGACTTCAGCCAGGTCACGATCTCGCAGTCCGTGAGTTCGAGCCCCGCGTCAGGCTCTGGGCGGATGGCTCGGAGCCTGGAGCCTGTTCCGATTCTGTGTCTCCCTCTCTCTCCCCCCCCCCCCTTCATGCTGTCTCTCTCTGTCCAAAAAAAAAAAAACCTTTAAAAAAAAAAAAAAAAAAAGAACTCAAGTGTTCCATTTACCTCCGGGGAACATCAGATCTGCCATCACTTAGTAAAAGGCATTTGGTGGCTTGACTCTTTTCAATCGTAAATTCTCTTGGTTCATTTAAAGTTAGAGTCCATTTTTAAGGATTCCATTTCCACGTGATTTGTTGGTTTGTTTTCAGGAACATCACTCTGTTCGTGGCTTCCAGGCTGATGTCCCCACCTCACCAGGGTAAGCTGCACTTGGGGCTCACTGGTGTCCCAAGCTGTGGAGTGCCAGCCTAGGAAACATACTACCTCCTGGCCAGATTGGCTGGGACCGCTGGAACCCTGGCCAGTGAGAGCTACTGCATGGGATGGAAGGTTCTGGAGTCGGTGGAGACCCTCTCTCCTCTCCAGGCCCTAGCCTGATGTCTTCTTTGCACCTAATGGGTTTTTTAATGAAAACAACATGAGCCAAGCAGTAAAATGGGAAGGGTTTATCCCCGCCCCCCTGCCCCCAGTCTCACCCACTATAGATAAACCAAGGGAACACCAAATGACTGTTCTCTTTTTTGCTAGAGAGAAATTTGGAAAATGCAGGCCCTGGACAATCTATGGGAAGTGAATCTACACATGCATTTTGCTCTAGGAGCAGAGTCCAGAGTTTATTGAATGAGTTGCTCTGTTCCCATATGGCCCACCAGGTGGCTGTAGAATATCACGGATGGGCCCAGCAAGCTGGCCTGGGCTGAAGAAGGCCAGGACAGCCGGCCAGGACAGCCAGGCACTGCCCAGAGACCCCCTGGCCCACCTTCAGGCAGGGCTGTTCTGTGTTTTCCTACAGGGACGCCAGACGAGGATGTTGGCCCCTGAGACTTTCCTAGGAGAAGCATGGCTAACACCGTGGAGTGTTTCCACGGCCAGGAGCTAGCTAGCTGCTCTGTGTATCTCATCTGCTTTCTCTCTTACTCTCGAGAGCCAGCCTCTGAGGGAAGCATGGTCATTGTCTCCATTTCTCAGGTGAGGCCACCAAAGCACACCGAGCTTAGGTAACTTACTAGATGCCTTGGTGCTGTTGGGGATCCAGGGTGAAAGGGAACCAGATCCCATGCATTGACCCAGTCTCCGGGCCACACGGCAGCTGGCAGGTCCCTGCTGTGCACCCCCAGGGCATGGGACTAGCCCCCACCCTCTGTGTCCCGCTCCAGCACGGTGACTGGCCCCAAGCCGTGCTCCCAGCTGGAGGAGTGCGCTGAGGGAGCGGGCAGGGTAGAAGGTAAGCTGGTGTTTACTTGTGCGAGCCCCTTCCCCTGGAACTCTTCTTGAGTGAAAAGTGAAATAGGTGAAATAAAAGGCAATCGGAAACAGACTTGGTCCTGTCTGGACGGCATGGGCCCCCAAACCTAATGCTCGCCAACCTTTCCTGCCAAACGGTGGGCTGACTGTTCTCCGTGGCCCCTGGCATCCTGTTCCTGGCCCCCTTGTCCCAGGTAGCTGCCCATCCACCCCCAGGCTCCCTGTAGGTGACATCTTACACGAGCAGCATCCTGCTTGGTATTTCAGGTGCGTGGGTACCCGCGGGCCACACCGGTGACCACATGGCCCCGCAGAAAACGGGAAGGCACTGCACAGCCAGCCACTGGCAAGACAGGGTTGAGGGGAAAGCACTGCTTCTGGCCCTTCGGGCAAATTACCTACCACATCTGAGGCCAGTTTCTTTATCAGTGAAATGAAGGTAACATCTGCTTACCTGCTAGTGGGTGCTAGTGGGACCGGCTGGAATTCATGAAACCCCCGTGAGTGCTAAGTGTTTTGTTGGTAAGTTACTAGGAGCGATGGAGTATTAGAGGGTTTCCAGTGAGGATGTGCGGGGAGGGTGATGGATAAAGAGATCAGTTTGCACTGTTGACATTGAACCACGTCAGTGATGCAGTTGCAGCCTTCAGAGTCAGAAGCCGGGTGGGAGCCTGCTCTGAGCCCCCGAGGCCAGCGCACCGAAGGGACCCTCAGATGTTACCCAGAATGTGTCCCTCTCCTCACCGAGCCAGAGCCTGTCCCCTGCTGTGACAGATACCTAACAAGACTCGTTGACACTTTAACTGTTTGCTCCCAAATGGCCCATAAGAACATTATTTATTTTTTAAATAAAGATCTGCAGACCAGCTCTCCACAAAGTAAGCTTGGGGACGGCCCAAGTCGACTGAAGAGCTGGCCTGGAGCAGGTGTGCTGGGAAGGGGTTAACGGCCGGCTCTCTGGGGGCAGAGTACTTCCCGGGCCACACACACTATAGAGTAACTCGCATAAAGGATGTATATAGAGCACACAAAGTACAACAACTTTATCCCCTATTCCAATCAGTAGAGATGTCACTGACGTCACCGAAAAATGAGTGCCACTCTGATATGAATGTTAGCCGAGGTTTGTAAAAATTTTTAATATTTTTGCTTTTAGAGAGCGCTTATGTGTGCACACAAGCAGGGAAGGGGCAGAGGGAGAGAGAGAGTCTTTTTTTTTTTTTTTTTTTTTTTTAATGCTTTGGCTTTTGAGAGAGAGGGTGAGCGGGGGAAGGGCAGAGATCGAGGGAGACAGAGGATCTCAAGCAGGCTCTGCACTGACAACAGGGAGCGCAATGTGGGGCTTGAACTCACAAACCGTGAGATTATGACCTGAGCTGAAGTTGGACGCTCAACCAACTGAGCCACCGAGGCGCCCGAGAGAGAGAACCTTAAGCAGACTCCACGCTCAGTGTGGAGCCTGACGTGGGGCTCGGTCCCATGACCCTGGGATCATGACCTGCGTGGAAATCAGGAGTTGACGCCCAATGCTCAGCACACCGAGCCCCCCCCCGGGCGCCCCATGCCACTGGTTTCGTTTATGTTAACGAGTAAGACAGATCCTAAACGAAGGAGGTGTGTGTCAGAACATCCCTGCCCGTGCATGGCACAAGTGACTTCTTTGCCGAATTGGCTCATGGTGGGTCGGGTGTGGAAAGACTTCTAACCTTATCTTTCTGTGCTAGTCACCACGTCGTGGCTGCAGGCACGAAACTTTTAGTTTGTATTCTTCACGTCTTCACCACTTTCTTAACTCTAGACGATCAAGAAAACAATAGATCAAGTTTGCTCATATCTGGGAGCTCATACCCCCCTCCCCCCACGGCCGCTTGTGAGCTCTCAGTGTGACATTGCTGAGCTGAATCATGAAGACAGGTGCTTCTTCCCGGTAGCTGGTGTTGCCATCGTTCAGACAGCGGGGAAAAACGGAAGAGTGTGGATTAACGGTGAAACACGGTAGTAATGACTGAGTTTTGATGACTGATTACCTCTGTTTTTACCGAAGTTCATTAATTTTAGTAATGATTGTATTTAACAGCAAAATTCTGAAAATGGGGCAGTGGGTTCTTGCGGGTGATGCTAAGCTGGCTGCAGCAGGTGTGGCCACAGGGACCCTACACCGAGGGCAGCTCTGCCCCCCAGGATGTCCGGAGGAGAGCCAGTTGCCGGGTGTCCTCTGAGGCCCTGTGGGGTCAGGTGGTTGTTAGGGCCCTTGAAAGCCATGAACGACCTATCCTTCCTCATCCTCCACATTCCCGCCTGGCGAGGAAGCCCATCAGGAAGCCGTCCTGACTGGCAGGCTGGAGACCAGGCATGAATTTGGGGACATGAGGGAGAATGTCACTCTGTTGCCCCACCCTCGCACACAAGGGCACCCTACTATCCTCCTAGTTTCCTCTTAGGACATGGCTGGGACTGGAGTCCCGGACTGGGGACACCCATTACTGTTTTGGGGGTGTGTGTCTTTGGGCCAAGTATTCTCCTGAGTCTCTGAGCCTCAGTTTCCTCAGAGCACAATGGGGATGCTCTAGCCAATGGCTGTGAGGAGAGGGATGGAGAGGAGGCAGCTCACAGCTGCACCCTCCACAGATCCCAGGGGCTGGGGTAGTTTTTCCCACACCAGAGTTCTTCATGAGAGCTTCAGGGAGCTGGAAACATCCTCACATCTCCAGATCCCATGACAAAGAGGAATGACTTCCGTCTTCCACAATTCAGGGGTGGGCGCAGCACCCAGGAGCTGTGCATTCTCAGCCAGAAGGACTTGCAGGGGAACAAAGTTGACGGTGTTGAGCAGGCCTTCCAGAGTGTTCTGTGATCAGCCCCAGACTGAGCTTCTTCACTCTTTTTCCGTCTCTGTTTCACTCTTTTTCCGTCTCTGTTTCACTCTTTTCCGCCTGTTTGGGTTTGGTCACTCTGAGCGGTATGCAGGAGGCATTTACTGTGGGGAATCAGGCCACATGCGGTTGTGGGAGCTGGTGAAGAAGTCCAGGGAAGGCTGTGCCTCTGGGTGGGCAGGGCTGGCTGTTGTAGAGAAAAGCAGATGTGAATGGGGGCAAGGAGAGGCTGGAAACCACGGGCACAGAGTGGCCCTGAGTCTATCACCTCCCACCTCTGTGACGTGGTGACCTGGTGGAGCTGGCTGCACACATACCTAGTCCGGGGCTCGGAACCCATCGATGAAACAGAGGCGCCACTGGATGGTTTCTGTCCAAGCCAACAGTGGGCACCGGCCACCCCATGACACTGTGAGAGCCACAAAAGCACCCAGCTTAGCCAAGCTGATGTGGTGAAAAGCCACCACTGCAATATGCTTCTGGAGTACCAAGCGCTTTTGGACCTTCTCATCGTTCTTCCAGGTTCCTATGCCTCTGCATGGAGTGTTTGTTCCAGCCATGGCACCAGGAAAACTCCTACAGCACCTTCAAAACCCTGCAGAGACATCACCTCCTCTGAGAAGAATTCCCTGATACCTGCCCTCCAGGACTAGTCCTGTACTTCACACATGGTGACTGCCTCTGTTGTACCTGCGAGATGCCTCAAGGGGACAAGCTGTGCCTGTTTGACGGCTCAGGTTGGTTCATTCACGTGCCCAGGATTGCACAGGGAGAATAGAGTTAGTGTCATACAGAGCTATAATTTGAAACCCTGTCGGTGACTCTTCTGATTCTAAGCCACCGTGACTAGAAAGCTGAGAAAGATTTGGCCCTTGCCCTTCGGAAACTATTCCGTGGAGGGGAAAGAGAGCTGCAGTGTAGTTAGTTAGGCAGCTGGTGAAATTACCAACAGAGACTCCAGGGGTGGCCCCAAGGCTGAAGTCACAGCACTGTGCTCCCCAGAGGGTCTCCAGGCTGCTCCAGGCCTGGCCGGTAGGAAGGTGAGGACCCCCTCCCTCCAGCAGCAGCTGTCAGGGAGCGTGGTTCCAGCTGACTCCTCACCGTGTGGCTTCGGGCAAGTCCTACTCCTCGTTCGGAAGAGACGGGCCTGGGACGGGTGGCTAAGATTCCTCATTCACTCACCACCATCTGGCATTGCAGGTGGTTGTCTGGATTGGGCATTTCTTATGTTATTCCACCAGAGGGCGCCAAATCCCAGCGCCTGCCAAGTTGGTTCTCTCAAAAAGGGGTGGTTTTGGGATGTGAGCTCAGAGGAGGTGATGAGTGAGAGCTGTGTGTGTGGGTTTGTGTGGAAACAATTAGGGGTGCGTGTGTGCATGTGTTTGCATGCAGCACCAGAGTTTTTTTCCAACTGTCTACATCTATTACCATCACCCCTACCCTGCCGAGTTCATCTCCGGCTTTTTGCTACCTCCCTTGCTCAGCTCTAGCCACACAGGCCCGCTAGCGCTGCCTCCAACTCTCCCTGCAAGATCTGGCCTCAGGGCCTTTGTGTGTGCTGTCCCTTCAGCCTGGAACACTGAACGCCTAGACATCTCCAGGAACCTCCCACATTCCCTCTCAGTGAGGCCTTTCCTAGCCCTCCCATAAAAAAAGTACCTCCGAACCCATTCCATGCTTTACTCTTCTTTAGAAAAACTACACAACACAATCTACACAACAAAATGTCACCTGTTTAACCATTTTTCCAGTTTTGCAGTATGAAGTCCCTTCTCGTGGTGGTGCAACCATGTCCGCCATCCATCTCCAGACTTTTTTCCATCTTCCCAAACTGAAACCCTACGTCCACTGAACAATAACCCCCTACTCTGCCCTCCCCCACCCCCTGGCAATGGCTGTCCTTTTTGTCTCTGTGAATCTGCTCCGGCTGTCTCGTAAAAGCCATAGAGTATTTGTCATTTTGGGTCTGGCTTATGTCACTCAGCATAAGGTCTTCAAGCGTCATCCATGTCGTAGCATGTGTCAGAATTTGTTTTAAGGCTGTATGATATTCCATTATATGTATATTTATATATTGATTATTCATTTGTCTGTTGGTAGATGCATGGCTTGCCCCACTCTTGTGAAGAATGATGGTATGCATGTGCTCTTTTCCATGCTTTCTGTTTCTGCACAGCACTGAACCTCATCCAGGCACCCTCCCTTTGCCCCCAACTAGACATACAAATGATGGCATACAAAAGACACAGGCCAGCTAACCTAGCTTTTTTAATCTAACATTGCTTTTTAAATGTCTAAAAATGCTCGGGACCTCGAAATGCTCCTTGGACCAGCTTTATCATTTCACTCGTGTCCTCATCAACGAGTTGATAAATCTTTGACATGTTCATCCTGTATTTGTAGGACAGTCCTATTTTTAACTTTTAAGAAGTTACACCCTGACGTTCCAGAGGTGTCTTTTTCTTTTTTAACCAGGAATTTAAACATGCCTTTGTGGGATGAAATCGAATACATCAGTTCATGATGCTCTGCCAGCCAAGCTGGGGCTTCTGGTGTCCTGGGGCCACGTGAACGGAGCAGAGACACCGCCAGCTCCTATGTTCTCCGGGGCCTTCTTGAGCTGTGGCCGCTGCTCCAAAGTCCCAGGCAGCTGATGCGGACCTGTGTCTGCGGCGCCCACGAAAGACGGTGCTTTCATGAGAGCGGCCTGCCCTTTCTGAGCCCTTCTGTGAGCCGTGGGATTCCAAATGCTCTGAATGCATTAGCTGACACTCACACGGTCCCCATGAGATAGACACCCTTCAGCAGATGAGGAAGCCAGCCTGGAGGATCACAGTGCAAGGGGAAGTTCTAGAGCAAAGACGAGAAGGAGGGATCTGTGTGTGGCGGGAGAGGTGAGTGGAATTTTTTTCTCTAGTTCTGCAACTTGTGGCGGAGATCATGCTGAGGGGGAAAGTGTTGGGTGCCAGACCCCACTCCCAGGGGACAGTCATCCCCCAGGGGATAGCACCCTTGCAGGGGGCTTGCTGACGGGGACCAGAGCAGGCCCAGCCACTGTGGCGCCCACCTGGTGCTGGCCTGACGGGAGGGCCAGGAGGGGGCCTGCAGGGAACAAGATGCCATCTTTCCCCCACCTGGCGTCCTGTCCCTCCCCCGAAACAACACGACACTGGGCCAAGAGGCGAAGTTCTTGTTTATTGTTGCAGTGACTCTTACAGACATTAGCGTTCAGTGAAATCAAGGAAGAGAACACATTAAATACATCACAACCCCCAAAACGGTACAGAGGAGGGGAGGGCGGGCTGGGCCGGTGACCAGACTGTCGGAGCAAGTACATTCAGTGGGTGTGTGGTGCCATCATTCCGGGCTCACGTGTATATATATTTTATTTATATAATTTATATTTATATATAGAGATCATTGAATTTTGTGTATACAAAGAACAATATTGTTACAAATACAATACTCTACTTGTCCCAAGCTTTACAATAAGCTCTATTTCACCCTCTTTACAGAACAATAGTACAAGTTCAGACTCTAGGGGCTGTGCTGAATATGTACAAGAAATTTCCTTCCCACGTGGTCCTCACGCCCTGCTGTGATGGAGGGGGGCAAAGAATCGGGTCGTGTGCTCCAGAGGGCCCAAGCCAGGGAAGGCGCAGACAGACACGAAGCTCAAACCAGCAAGCGGCCTTGGAAGAGGGAGAGTAAACAGGTCTAAAAGGAGGTGGCCCTTGGTTGTAAACATTGGTAACAGCCACACCACTGGGTCGAGGGACCCAAGAAGGGCGTGTGGATGGGTTTCCTCAGCGTGCAGATGGGGACGTTGGGTGCGAATGGGGGGGCCTCAGGGGCGGCAGAAGTGATGGGGGAGGTAGTCGTTTAGTCTGGGACTCTCTGAGGCCGCTGTTCCATGGTGGGCTCCAGGCCCCGAGGAGCCTGCTCTGGGGAGGGTGTGCACTCCAGGCCTTGGTCTCTGGGGGTCTCCTCCTCTTGTGAACCCAAGGCTGACGGTGGCTCCCTGAAATGCTCCCGTGTGAGAAGGCAGAGACAGGATGCGTTCTGGTGCATCCTGGCTGGACCAGGACCGGTAGACGAAGCTGAGAATCTGTCCCCGAACCTGAGTCACCAGCATGTCCCAGCCAAGCAGCAAGAGTGGCTTTTTGCCTGGGCCCTGTTGGGGAAGGCTGCTCTGTACATAGTGTTCCCCATGACGGGGTGGGGGTGGGGGTATTCAGATATTTACATATATAACTATATATACTGGGATGCCAGAAGAGACCACCACGTCCTATGGATTTTCAAACACGGCGTTACTAACGCTTAACTCCCTCCATCCGACGCGAGCAGGGCCAAGAATACACTCCAGGTGAACCTGTACCGAGCTCCGGGAACGAGAGTATCTGGGTATGCAGAGCCACTTTCAGTAACAGAAGGTAGGTGGTAGACAAGTAACCTCACTCTTCTGCTAGAAGATGCTGGTCTTCCAGCAGCTCTTACCAAATGGGCTTTTGCGGCACTCGTCAAACGTCCTAAGACTTTTGTGCCATAGCGGCAGAATCTGTGTTCTCTGTCCCCTCTCCTTTGGGTGAAGATGCCTAATTGTGATACTGGCAGGCTGCGTAGGGACTGCTGGCCCGTCGCGGATCGGCCTCTGTCCCGGTGCTGGGGCAAGTGGCCCGAGTGGTCACCCTGGGACCAGACAGGCATGAACCCCTCCCATGACCTTCCAAGGCTCCTGAGGCCTCACACCCCACCACTAATGCTTTGTTCCTGTTCCACTCTCTCTTTTTGGCAGAGGGAAGAGCGACCAAGACTCTCGAGTCCTTGACTATATTGTCAGACACACTACAGTTTGGTAAACTGAGAACTTGGGGCCATGGTTCTGGCTGATTCGGGCTGCGTGGGGCTGAGCCTCCTCTGAAGGCCAGGGGTCCTGGACTGTCCAGGCTGGCTCCCCTGCAGAGGGGGCAGCCCCTACTTTATTAAGGTTTATACTACAAACTGAGGGTCGACCACTGATGCCTTTGGAACATTCGGCTTTCCTGACTCACAGAAACCCTGAGGTACAGAAATCCCAGGGGAACACACTGCACAGTCATCTGGGGCTAGTCTCTTGTTCTGATTTTTTTTTTTGTGTCTCCCTCCCCGAAATCCCTCCAACAAATACATGAGCCAGTCCACATATGCTCACCGAATTCCTGTTTCCACAGATACAACATAAATATCCCATGTGCAGAGAGCAGGGACTCTTAATATTACAAAATATATTAGTTTCTCTTCCCGTCTCTGCTGAGGTCATGAACGAAATGGAACAAAAAAAAAGCAAACCAACCCACACCCACCTACGTGAAAACAAAATGCTCTTTGGACCAAACGTAATTGAAAACTGGCTCAGGATAATATCACTACAACATCTGCATGAACTGAGACAGAATCCACAACATGAGGCACCTGGTGAGAACACGCAGCAGCTCACCCAAGTGCAAGCGCTCTCACACCCACCAGGCAGCAAGCTGATGTTTCTAGAACACATCTGGGGATGCTTAGGCATCGTGTGAGGTCATCCTTGTCTCCTTAGTTTTGTCGTTTACTACTATGCTGGCCTCTCAAATCCCATCCTGCTACGTGGCCCTGAGCAGAGAGGAAAGCTGGTCTTACCTTGGGCCAGGAAGCCTAACGCGACTGCATCTGCGTTCTCTTCCTCCACGGGAGCAGTCCGTCCTTCCGAGACCCCCAGGGTGAGTGTGGAGTGGGGGCACGAAGGGAGTCCACTAGGACCCTGAGCCAAGGCGGCGCTGGTGGGGCCAGGCCTCGGGGCGGGGGGAAGTCTCACCCCGGACAAGGCTGAGCAGCCCCTGCAGGCCTCACCTGCCAGGGGAAAGGACCTCATAGAGAGGCGAGGTGGGCTTTCCAAGGGCTCTGTGTGCCTCACTGGTGAGGGAAGGAGGCGAGGGCGATACATACACAAGAGAGGCTGTATACGTACGTGTGTGGCAGAGAGGGAGAAAGGAAGTACCTGCCCACGTCTATCGGCTGGTTGGTGACCTTAGCACAGCCTGAGGCGGCTGGGCTGCCCCAGCACCTGCCGAGCTCTCTGCACCAAGATGGCACCCTGGTCCCAGGCCGTCTCCCTCCTACCCTTGGGGGAGAAGGCTCACCTTTAAGAACGCAATTATGTCAAAACTAAAAGTAGTGACACAAGAGGCATAAGGTTGGCTCAGAAATTCTGGGCGGAGGGGTGTGGAGCCCCAAGTCCAGTGTGGTGGGCAGGGCAAACCCTGAAAGACACAGCTGGTCTCTGCTGATAGACCGTGTTCCCATACACTGAGCCAATCAGAGCCAAGACCAGCGGCTGGACTGTAGGCACTGCTGACTCAGCTCCTTCACTGTCCCCCCAGGAGCACCTCTTGGGGGAAGGGAGGACTCCCCTGGAGCCGTGACCGTCCTCCTGGGAACCCCCGGGGGCCCTTCAGGATGGTCTGGGCAGACACCCGGTGGGTACTGGCTGCTCTCTACCCTCAAGGGCGTGTGTACAAAACTTTCTGGGTGTTAAAAAAAAAAAAAAAAAAAAAAACTGGAGAGAGAGTAAAGAGGTCTGCAGATTCTTCTCTTCCTGTGTAGAACCGGTGCTGGGCGTGAGAGGGAAAGGTCTCAGTGGGCACACAGATGCAGCACGAGAAACACACCACGAGTGAGGACAGTCCTCCATGCAAGCCGCCAGGCGGGGGGGCACGGCCTCAGATGTAAACGGGTTGCTCCTGGGCCGTCAGCAGTCGGTACATGGCAGCCGGCATCGTCTTCATGTGAATCTGAGGGCAGAAACGTGCATCAGCAGGCCTGAGGCTGCGGGGTGGGGTGGGGTGTGGCTGTGTGGCCATGGCCCCCCGTTGCCCCGGGGGGGGGGCAGCACCTCTAACCACAGCGGGGTGGGGTGGAGCTCTGAAGGTCGCCCCTCACCAGCCACAGGGACCTGACTGAGGCCTCCAGGAAGAGAGGGATCCACGGGCTTTCTAAAACGTGTGGGGTGGCACAGAGTGCGCAGTGAAAACCGGGGAAGCTTTGTTTCGCAGCCAAGGCAAAAGGAGAAAATCCCTTAAAAGCAAGGGAGAGTGGCAGTAGGTAGTGGCGGTGGGTCGGTGGGTCGGGACCCCTCCCCCAGGGGGTCAGGTGGCTCAGGAGGCGGGCCCCGGAACAGCCATCGCCACCTGGAGGAGGCTGGAGCCCGGAGCTGCCCCTGGAGGCCTGGTCCATCTATCAGACATCAATCTGAGACTTCCATGGCCCAGCAGGTGTGGTGACATTAACTGGAAGAATGGACAGAACTCGGGCGGCCCCGGGGGGAAGCTACAATAATGAGGCTGAGAGTTGAGAAGAAAAGGTGAGCAAATAATGCAGGAGAGAGTGAATCCTGTTTCCAGGAGCCGCTCTCAGTCCGCCGCTAGGCAGTGGGTGACCTCTGGCCTGAGTCTGACCGTTCTGCCTGTCGAGCAGGGTTTTGAACCACAAAGGACGCTGCCTGGAAGGCCTGTGTGGGGCCGCGCAAGCGCGAGGCCGGGGTCCCCCAGGCACACCCCCACCCCAGCCCCCGCTCCTACCTCCCCCACCGCATTGGAGAGGATGTGGACGATCTTCTCGTGAGGCGTGGCCACCACGCTCTGCCCGTTGATCTCGATGATCCGATGTCCCACGCGGACGCCGCCTCTCTCGGCTATGCCCCCTCGCATGAGGCTGCAGATCTGTCAGAGCCAAAGGCCACACCGTTAACCCTCACGGCAGGATCGCATGTCGGAGAGCTGGGCAGAGACAGCACTGGCTTTCCTGGACCCCTGCCCTCCGTTCTCCACGGTTACTTTGGGGCATTCCAATCTCTCGGTTTCCTTTCGCAAGCGACAGGGCTCCGTGGGCGCACAGGGCCACCCGGCCGCTGCACCCCGCCCGGGGGATGTAGTACATCGCAGGAGGTCACGGCACACTGAGTTCCGACTGCCTGTCATCCCAGCTGGGTCCTGGGGAAAAGAGCTTTTTGGACCTGTCACCGAGTCACCAACGGTTTCAAACTCTCAGCCTGTGTAACACAGGTGAATATTATTTCCCACATTCACCGCTAGGACTCAGACATCCAACTGTATAATCTGCAGCCTGCTTTTCAGGGTCACGGTTACATGAGCCAAACCCCGCTTTGGGTTTCCAAAGTGTGGCCAGCTGGCCGGGACTTGCTCCTTTTGACCTTCTCGACTTAGCAGCCCGTGTTCAAACTCACTTCCCCCCGGAAAGGACAACGGGGCTGGGTTTTGTCTCTGTGTAGCCGCACATCATGGTGTGCAGAAGCTGTGGGCCGGTGGAAATGAGCTCCCCAGGGCTTGGAGTTGGAGGGCTCGGGGCTCAGCCCTGCAGGGGAAGGCCCCCCCCACTTCAAACAGAACATGAGACTTTCTCCAAAAGAGTGTGTTTTTAGTTTACAAAGTTGACATTTCACACCAGATCGTGCGCCTTTTTTTAAATTTTTTTTTTTTAACGTTTGTGTATTTTTGAGACAGAGACAGAGCATGAACGGGGGAGGGGTAGAGAGAGAGGGAGACACAGAATCCGAAGCAGGCTCCAGGCTCAGAGCCGTCAGCCCAGAACCCGACGTGGGGCTCGAACCCACAGGCGGTGAGATCGTGACCTGAGCTGAAGTCGGACGCTTAACCGACTGAGCCACCCAGGCGCCCCAGATCGTGCGCCTTTTAAGCCCACGTAGACAAGATCGTGGCATCGTGCGACAATGCTCTGTGACCGAGTGTGTGGACCCCGCAGAGCCCCCCACCCGGTACTCTGGGGTCAGAATGCTGCTTAGGTGCTTCCCACACTTGAGACAAAACCAAGGAACCCGCTGTTGCTATACAACAACTCTTTGTTCATAGCTGAACTTTTAAAATTATTTGCATATGAACACAGCAAACAAGGAAATATCGGCAGATTAAAACAGGTGTCTGCCCAAAAGCGTGAGGAGTACGTAACCCCGGCTCCCTTCCTAAGAGGAAAGTGAGGCCGCTGAGGTCCAAGGAACAGATGAAGGGGAACTTCAAAGCTACTTCAAGGGTATTTCTAAACCTTGAAACAGACTTGGAATAACACTTTAAAAACCTGCCACTCTTAATTGAGATTTTTAAGGGGGAAAAGAATAGCGTTCTTCAGTGTGGGAAGATGAAGGGAAAAAGAAGAAGAGCACATCCAAAATCTAAAAAATCAAGGCCGCAGACAGAGAACAGGATGGTCATCGGAACCCACAATTACTGTGATTGCAGAATAAGGCAAACCAGCACCCAAAGGGAGTAATGCTGAGTATGGAGTTTCCGTGTGGAATGAAGAAAAAGTTCTAGAAAGAGACAGTCGTGACGGTTACACCACTCTGTGAATGTACTTTAATGCCACTGAACTGTATGCTTAAAGATGGTTTAGACTGAGGGGCACCCAAGTGGCTTAGTCAGTCCAGCGTCCGACTTGAGCTCAGGTTAGGATCTCACAGTTTGTGGGTTCAAGCCCCGCATCAGGCTCTGTGCTGACAGCTCAGAGCCTGGAGCCTGCTTCGGATTCTGTCTCTCCCTCTCTCTCTGCCCCTCCCCCGTTCATGCTCTGTCTCTGTCTCAAAAATAAATAAATATTAAATTAAAAAAGAAAAGTATTGTTTCCGGACAGATATCCACATGATGAAAATACTCTTCATCCCTAAAGTGCTATTCAGGTTAAAAGGGCAAGGCAGAAAACATGCACGCATCACAGCCATGGGGGCCGGGGCTCTCCACCTGCACTGTGCCCTGGAATCACTGGGGAGCCCGCCCAGTGCTGCACACCCCTGGTGGGGGGCTGGACAGCTCTATAGGGGCTAACAGGTGTACCCAGGTGGTGACACAATGGCATCCCCTGGCCGGAGGGAAAGGACACACTTGGTGACACATCCCAGACTATCTCAAGTTGGCAGCTGGGAGGCTGACCCTTGCACCATCACAGAGAGATTCAGGGCCAGGGCTCTGGGAACCACCCTTCCCTTCTCATGTGCAAGGGCACAGGATTCTCTGCCCACAGGGGCACACAGGGCCCGCCCTCACTCACTCCTCCCTCTCCTTGCTGGGTTCTCTCAGGGAACTGCCTGGCTTTAAAAAAATAAAAAGTTGGGGCCTCTGGCTGGCTCAGTCAGTTA